ATAAAACCAATGTCATGCTTTGCTCAGCTGAGGCTTGGGAAAGTTGCTCACTTCTGCCCATCTTTGCTGTTCAAGAGTTGCTTTTCCCTCTGCCATATACTTTCATTGTGGGATATATTAGTGTGTCTTCAACAATTAATGCAAAATATATTTGAACAGAGAAAACAAGCTCATGTTATAGAGTGGGCCAAGATCATTAATAGCTGCTACATCAAATGAATCTGTTGCAAAAATAGGTATAGCTCCCAGGGATATCAGTGAGGGCCATGACTTACACCGGAAGCAAATTTAGAATAAGTTAAGAGTTGTAACATCAGGAAGGGGAGTCTGAGAATTTCTGTAAATGCAGGAGTATAACTGGTCCCTCTCTAAACTGAAGAACTGGTTTGAAACACTCTTATGCATGGTCCCAGGTCTACCTGGGAGAGATGGAGTAGGCTGAACAATTATTCCTCCATGAAGTAGAAACTTATGCATTAGGTCTCCTCCCTCATTTATAATTAAATCATACAAAAATAGTTTTCTATATTAAAACCCTTAGGGAAGATCTGTACTGTTCTACCCTGCGTGTCTTTTCATCTTATCCTCATTGCTTCCATTGCTGTAGTTCACATAAGTCATGCAAATGAACAAATGGTGGTATTTTGTATTAAATTGGCTCTTTACCTTTGTGGTAGTAAAACTAACCTGCGTAGTTGTCAGAGGGCTGCTAGCACTTTGTCACCCCTTGACATAGTGCAGAATTAAATAGAGTAATAATTCTTTTCTTCCAGGTTTCTCCTCCCTTTCCCTTTTTTGTTTGTTTGTATAAGAAACCACTGAATGAAAGCAGGATGTGTAGAATACCTGGATACAGAGGAGATTGCACAGAAAGACTTCAGCTTTTTAAACTTTATTTTTAGCTTGCATTTTATTTTCAGTGCCAACATTTGTTACAAAAGCTAGAAAGGGGACATGCTTTAAAATGGTTGGTCTCCGAGGAAAAGTGTGAGAGAAATAATTGGTACAAGTCCGCTGACTAGCAGCAGCTCAGAGCTACTTTCCTAGGAGGGCTTGAGAGTGTCTCTTCTGTTTTGCTTTCTTTTTTGCTTTTGTTACATGCTACACAAATGGCCTGGTCATTTGCTTTTCCCCTCAATTATATGGGCAGAGATGTTTTTCCCTGAGATCCCCAGGGTTGGAGAATAATTATTTGCTGACCCATTCCATCAAGTTGGAAATTTTTGGTTAAATCTCATTCTGTGTTCAGCATCTCTTTTTCAGGTTATAGTGGGATACTGCTCAGAACAGTTTATAATTACAATTACATGTTTCTACACTGTCACCAACTCTCTTAAAATAATAATTGCTTTATTCTGTATGAGTTCAGAAGTCCAGAGGGCCTTAGATTGTGCTTGCCAGCCACTCCAGAAAACTTTACAAGCCAATGAGCAAACATGGCAAATGCCTGTTTTTAGTAGGAGCCAAAATGAAATTCCCCTAGCTTAAGGTTAAATGAGCAGGACTAATTTGTTAGGTTCATGTAATTGTTTCTAGCTTTTGGGTAACTGGCAAATCAGAAAAAAAAACCTTTTATGTAAAGTCTTCGAAAACAGACGTTTGTTGTACCAAGGAATTAAGAAAGCAGAAGAAAAAGGCAAAAAAAAAAAATCAAATAATACACTGAATTGTGACTTTGTTTCTTGCAGCTTGTATATGAGTTTTTCATACGATTTTTGGAAAGCCAAGAATTCCAACCCAGCATTGCCAAAAAGTACATAGATCAAAAATTTGTATTACAGGTAAGCAGATAATTTTCTTTCAAAAGGGTGTTGACAGTTCTGTACTTAGTATCACAAACATCACTTTATTCCTAGTAACACTTTTTGTGAAAGTGGAATGTGTAAATGTTTAGCTCCTCTATCATCATAAAAGGTAATTGGGTAATAAAAGTTTTTCATTCTAGGAAAAAATAGCTAGATAGGGCTAATGTTTGTATTGTCTCCATTTCTGAAGTGCCTTAACAAAAAAAAGTTTGACTTAGCAGTTATATAACTCAGTTGTGACTATAGCAGTTCAAAAAAAAAAAAAAAAGGTTATGCAGTGTGGGTTTAAACATAGTGTTAAACAATGACAGTTTATCTGGCTAAGCTCCAACTCTGGCTTAAAAAATTGTTAAAATATCTCTCTTGACAATGGAAGTACTCCCCACTTTATCTCAATAGCTATTTGCGAGCAGACGGGGTAGAAGTTGATTAACAGTCCAACTCCCAGAAGTGTTCTGAAAACAGTGGTGCTGGAGTTGTCAGGGAAGAAGTAAATCAAAAGGCCACATAAAGTTCAAGCTCCCTTGCAGAGCTAAACGGGGAAGGCCTTGTCTGTTCGTTATGCAGATCAGTAGTCAGTCTGGAGTCTTGTACTCAGTTCCTGCTGCTCCTCTTTGGTGTGTAGGCTGGCTTCCCCGTGTGCTCTGCTTCATCCCCAGCAGCAGCTGTGACTGGTGCTGCTTTTCTGACGGGCTCACTTTCTTCCAGGCCTTAACAGAGCTCTAGAACAGTGGCTCTAAACCTTTTTTTGCTGAGACCCTAAATCTGGGTGTCAACCCCTGCCGCCGACTCACTGGCTGGGCTGGGATTACAGGGGCAGCGGCAGCGAGAGCTGCGCAGACCGTGCACCAGAAGAGCCCCGCAGGCGGGATGGGCGGAGCAAGGGGCGGACCCCTTGTGACCCTGATTTCGGTTGCACCCTGTGGTTGAGAGCCACCTCTCTAGAACAATGTGTTGCTGGGCTGAAAAAGGGCATTTCTTGCACGAAAGGGAAAATAGCTTGAAAATAAACTCCTTTGTCTCCTTCCTGCAACTTCTAGCTGCAGGCCTGCTCTGCTTTGTATTGTTCTTTCCCTCTATAGACTTACGTGGAACCACAGAGGACAGAACTAAGCAGAGGCTGGAATGACTTTGTACATGGCAACTTCAGTCCACTTGCTCTTGCACCAGGGGAAGTTCCTAAGTCTCCCAGCCAACTAGGAGGGAACTTCCATAGGAAAAGATGCATGTGGGAGGACGGTGTGCTGGAGTTATAGGAGGCCAGGCTTACTTTACCTTCTGCATAACACAAAGCTGTAACATTTGCTTTGTAGGAACATAGGTTTTCAGAGGAGGAAGTAGAGCTTTGCTTTTTTCCCCCTCCTCCAAGTTAGCTCTTATGAGTGCCCCTCTGGACTACTGCGCAGATGGAGTGAGTCTCTGTTTCATGCTCATCCTGCCAAAGGGACCTCCTTACATTTGTTAGGCTTTACCTTGACTGCCTCAAACCAGTAGCATAATTAGGGAAGGGGGGGAAGTCCTGTGCACCAAATTAGAGGGGGTACCAGAATGGCAGTCCCCAGGGACCCTGTGCTGCTGCTGCCATGCTTGCTACCCATAGACGGAAAGCTCGCAGCACCACAACGGCAGCCCGGTCTCTTGCCCCATCACAGTTTCGTAATAGGACACTAGGCGAGGTTAGTGGATCTAAAGGAGGAAGGCCTTTTTAAAAATCCAATTAGCCATGATTGTCTGCTAAATGGACTAGTATGGTTTGTCAAATGAACCAGGGAACCATTAAGAGAGGGAGTTTTAAGGCTAGAAATAATGTTCATTTGAAAAATGTATGAGCCAGTATGAAGGGATGTCTGTTGAGAATCAGGTTATTCTTGCTTTGTTTGTTAGGTAACCATTTATTTTTAAATGGAATGAGTATTAATTAAAGTAAATGTGTTGTCAGAATGACAAGCTCAGCCTAAATTTGTAATAAAAAGGGTTTTAAAGCAATACCATACTAGAAGTTTTTTTATCATACCTTTATGAGGATTTATGAGGTGATCATGCAACACTTATAGTATAGAGGAATTTAAAATTTAATGAATTCAACTTGTTCACTCACTATTAATATAATTGTTGATAGCTTAAACGTGATAGTCTTCAACTTAAATTTTTCTTGTTGAACTTGCATTTAAATTTTGAAAAGCTTTTTAATAAAGTACTTCCTACTGATGAATTACTTTTCCAAATGAGAAAAATACCAATTGATTTTTTTTATTTTTTTTTGCTAGTGTTTTTATATGTAAATATGTTGCCAACCCAATATATCATTAGTTGGATTGTAGTTTGGCAGTTCATTTTTTAAAGACTGTTTACATCTACCCTGAAATGGTAGGCAATGGTTGCTAAGAGACAAAGTATTCAAGTAACCCAATAAGCATATGTACTGCTGTAGGTTGCTACTCAGTAATTTGTATTCCATATTCCTTGTTATATTTGGTATAAGGATATCAGAATAATCATGCAAATGATGGGGATCATTAGCCTGTCCTTAAAAATAAATCGTTGTTTTGTAGTTGAAACATGAACACAAATTGGATATATCAAAGTGTTAGTTTTGGGCCCACCACTAAAGAAAGGATGTGGACAAATTGGAGAGAAGCCAGCGGAGGGCAACGAAAATGGTGAGGTGGCTGGGGGACATGACTTGTGAGGACAAGCTAAGGGACCTGGGCTTGTTTAGTCTGGAGAAGAGAAGACTGAGGGGGGATTTGATAACAGCCTTCAACGACCTGAAGGGGGGTTCGAAAGAGGATGGTGCTGGACTGTTCTCAGTGGTGGCAGATGACAGAACAAGGAGCAGTGGGCTCCAGTTGAAGGAAGAGACATTTAGGTTAGATATTAGGAAAAACTTTCTCACTAGGAGAGTAGTAAAACACTGGAACAGGTTACCCAGAGAGGTTGTGGAGTCTCTGTCCTTGGAGGTTTTTAAGACCTGGGTAGACAAAACCCTGGCTGGCACGATTTAGTTGGGGCTGGTCCTGCTTTGAGCAGGGGGTTGGACTAGATGTGACCTCCTGAAGTCCCTCCCCACCCTCATTTTTTAAGGTTCTATGATTACTCTTTGTATGTTAACTATTGAACCCTTAATTGAAGTGGTGACTGACAAGATTTAATTAATTAACTAATAAATTAATGGATTCTGAAAAGTGCTCTGGATTATCAGATTGACACACGTTTATTTTCACTCCCTTGCTTCTCTTGCTAATCCTCCTTTGTTTTGACAGAGTTCCTAAATGTTGTATTGTAGCCTCACAGCAAGTGTAAGCGACTCAAAATTGTTGTCATAATTTTTAAAAAGGCATCTTTGAGACAAACACGAATGTAGCATTCCTGAAATCAGACCTCAACATCTTTTTTATTTTTGTCAGTGGTGACACAGTAATTCTTTATGCTCTTTTTTTCCCCCTGTGGGAGAGTATGAGAACGTGTCCTAAATCAAGTTAATTAATAGATCTCTTTACCACATAGAAAGCATGATTTTTGAATAGTAGTTCCTCTTTTTCTTTCTTAGAGGTCTTTGAAGGTGCCTGTAAACTTTTGTGATTGACAGATGCCCACTTATAATTTAAGAAACTATTCATTAGATTACTGTTTTACAGAGTATAAATCAGTGACTGTCACCCAGGGCGCCCCAAGATCTTTGGAAGGGTGCTCTGAAGAGCGGGGAGATAAATGCAGGTGCAGGCAGTCCCTGCCTGGCTGCTGCCCTGTCTCTGCTGCCTGGCCTCTCTGCAAGGAGGCAAGCGCTGTAATAAATACATTAGTTTTTTAAATAAGGCATTGCTCAACTCACAAAAGCCAGCAAGGGGTGCCTCAAGTCTGACATGGGGTGCTTCAGTTCTGAAAAGGCTGCAAATCACTGGTATAAATATTTCATTGTTATTTCATTTTCCCATTGCTAACAATAGATGGTCTGTAACTCTTCTACATATGTACCTGTTTATTGTTATGGCATCACCTTTTTTCAAATGATATTTTAGAGACCGATAAGAAAAATAAGGTCCCAACAAAGATGAACACCACACGTGTACTCCAAAGGTGTCCCGTTCACAAAAATTCATGAATAATATTGGTATATATTCCATAGTAAGCCCCAGAATCAGTTGGCAAACCTTTCGAATGTCAAGTTTTTAAGTGCAACCGCTGTGAAATTGAAATAAGATAAATTATGCACAAAACCTGTAAACAGCCTTGGGGATGGGTGTTACAGATATGGGAGATGTGACAGCAGACAAGAGGAAGGAAAGCTCTTTGGCAGAACAGTGTTAACAACTCTTTTTTTTAATACCAGTTTCTTCAACATAGACCTCAAAATCACTCATCCATTAAAAGTATTGTGTGCTTTGAAATGGGGAAAAAATAGGGGGGGAAAAAGCCTGAGAGCTGATAGTTTTTATAAACTATGAGTCATTTAAAATCATGTATTATATATGGGTACAGCATATGCCTGTCTCCATTTAAGGAATCTGATCATTAACTAGACAGGGCTGTGTTGATACATTGGTATTCATATTTTTCAGTTAAGTCTTATTTGCTTGTTTTGTTTTGTTTTTCTTCATTCTGGAGAATCACCAGTTTAGGTCAGCTACTCAGGAGGAAGTGGAGTCATTGATAAATGCTTTAATTTGTTTTAAAGGCTTGACAATGGTGACGTTAGGTACAAATGTTCCAGGATACATTTTGTACAGCGTGTATGAGATTCATTGGCTGGTATTTGCGTAGTTGACTGAATGTACCTGCCTCATTTGGAATGTCAGTATTCACTTCTTTTCTTTCCTGGGTTCATTTCAGAGTTCCTTAACAATTGAAGTTTATGTTGTGGGGTAACAGTGCCCATTCCCTGATCTGGAGGATTTTGGTTATTAATTTGGCCTCTGTCCCTTAACCTCTCCAGCTTGGGATGCTCTTCAGGTAGCAGATCTAGCCACCACAGCTCTCATGTGCATGGGAGCTCACAGGGCTTTCTGCTACGTAAGTCATACGAGCCCTAAAAAGCAGTCAGAGCTCTTTAGGTGAATTATCAGCAATGGCTAAACTACACTTGTGATAGAAAGGTGGGGACAGATTAAGAGGAAACCATAATTTCTAGTATCTGCAGACCCAAGGGATAATGGATTAGTAGGCTGACTTCTTCTAGTGCTCATTAACCTCTTTTTAAGATTATGTTCCTGTCAAAAGTTTTATTACTTTACTTTTCATTTTCATTAGTTTAATATAAGTTATAACTCTGTTTTAAGGAGAATGACTGCTGAGCATGGGTGACAAGTAAACTAATAAGATGACATCTGCTTCTGAAGGTTTCTAATGTTTGAAGTAGCCTTGGCAGAGATGACAATGAGCGTAGTGCTCATGACACACTTGGGTGCATGCTAGATGTTGCGTATCACGTCTCTACAGCCCACTACATAGAAAAAGGCACCACATATATGGCAGCTGTGTGGGCACGTACAGGACCTTTATCTAATGGCATGTAAGCAGAAGGATACATTAAAAATCAAGCCAATTCACTATCTGTTATTAGTTGTCCAACTCTAAATTTATTCTCTTCTGTTTTGACAAAAGCTTTTGGAACTGTTTGACAGTGAAGACCCCCGAGAGCGAGACTACCTGAAAACAGTCTTACACAGAATTTATGGCAAATTTCTTGGTCTTAGAGCATTTATCCGAAAACAGATAAACAATATTTTTCTACGGTAAGTGCTGGGAGAAGATAGCTGTTGGCTGGTAGATGTTTTAAAAGACTAAGTATGTATTAAATATGCTTTTTTCCCCATAGGTTTGTTTATGAAACTGAACATTTCAATGGTGTAGCTGAACTGCTGGAAATTTTAGGAAGGTAAGTGAACCTTTTTATTCCTAACTTGCATCAGACATTCATTTTGAAAATGTCAGTTCGCCTGAGACCTGGCAATGAAAATGTTACATTAAGCTCAGCCTAAAAAAAGGTTTTTTTTGCCCATGTCTAACTTCAGGCACGCATTTAAGATCTTGAAAGCTTCTTTGCAAAGAGACTATAATTGCACATGTGTTACAGAAAGCCTCTTTTCCTTACAGTACAAGCTGTGCCTTTTGTTCTGCCTTGTATATTTGCAGGTTTTGTTTGAGCAAGCTAAATAGTTATTAACATGTTAGATTTATGTCTTGGATAAGTACAGTTGTGGTCAGTTCAACAGTCAGTTACCAAAGAGGAAAAGTTATATCTATTGAGCACCAGCGCTGTACAGTTGCTCATAGAGTTATTCTCATGTAAGAGCTTAAATGCTGCATAGCCAGGACAGCGGGGCAGACTGCATTTCAGACGTTCTAACTACGCATATTGAGCACATATGAGGGTCTAACACAGGGCTGGGCAAAATGCTGGCCAGATTTAACCCGCCAGTTGATTGGATCCATCCTGTGGACGGGTGCCTGTCAATTGGTTGTATCTGGTCTGCTGCTGCCCCTTGTGGTGCACTGCATGGGGCCGAGCCTGTGCGGGACAGCCCTCCCCATGCTTCCACCTGCATCTGCCCTGTACCCATCAGACACTAGCACCCTGGTCCTAGTTCTAGCCAGCACACACAGCTTCCTGGGGGAGTGCTGCCACAGCTGCCCAGGTACTGCTTGGCTTCCCCCCACCTCCTCCTTCTGTGCTGCTCCAGGGAGCAGGTAACGTACGGATGCCATGGGCATGCATGCTGGGCAGCAGGTGCCCAGCCAGGCGGGGGGAGCCTGTAGCTGGGCAGCTCAACAGTGTGTATTCAATGCATTGGCTGCATTGCATGGGGCTCCAGGTCCAGCTCCTGGCCACCTTCTACCCACTGTGCTGGCTCGGCATGATGAGCAGCCACCTGCTAGGATGTTGGGGGGAGCTGGGCTAGGTGGGAGGTGGGGGGATCAGTTTTCCTCCCCACTCCCTCCCCAGTTCTGGTTATGGCAGCCTCTGCTGCTGTCAAGATGCTTGCATGGGGAGCAGGAGTGGGAAGGGAGCCCCCCCTGCCATGTAGGCCTGGCCTGACTCCCCCTAAAACCCCAGCAGGGGTAGCTGTGGGGTGGGGGTATGTGTAGCATGGAAGCTCCCATTCTCCCCCATCCCCCCTGTGTGAGCATCTTGACAGTGGCAGAGGCTGATGCGCCTGGAACTGGGGGGAGGGGGGTGGGGAACAAAGCTCCCCCATCTCATGGGCCCAGCCTGGCTCCCCTCAAGACCCCAGCAAGCGGTAGCCTTGCTGGGCCCACAAAGTGGGGGGGCTCTGTTTCCCTCCCCCTCCCGCCCCAACAGGTACAACAGCCTCTGTTGCTGTCAAAATGCTCACGTGGGGGTGGGGGATAGGAGCCCCTCTCTGCTGTGTAGATACCTCCCCCCAGGAACCCAGCAGGGGTAGCTAGAGCGGGGGGGCATGTGGGGGGCGCTTCATCCCCCTCCTCCCCCCCAGCTCCTGCTGACGGTTGCCAGCTGGTGGCGGGGGGGTGTGGGGACTGTGGAGAGAAGGGTGGTCCAGCAGCCCTCTGAGCTGCCTGAGCTTCTATGCACACCTTTAGTCTATTCTGCAGCCATTTATTTAGAAAGCTCTTGTCAAGAGTGCCTGTAAATTTTCTTTGATGTCACTAATACATGTTTTTCTTTTTCTTTTTTCTAGTATTATCAATGGTTTTGCTTTACCTCTGAAGGCAGAGCACAAACAGTTTCTGGTGAAGGTGCTGATTCCCTTACATACTGTCAGGAGTTTATCGCTCTTCCATGCGCAGGTAGAAATTACACAGCTATTTTTTATTTGTTTAGAACAAGAAAGTGCTCTTGATTTGATTTTGGAAATCCATTGCTTAAATAAATTAGTCTAAATAGGAGGGAAAGGTTTTTAAAGGAAGAAGCATTTTACAAATAAGCATGTCCTATTTCTGTAGCTGGGGGTTTGTTAAAAAACATAGGTTTCACACCACCCTTAGTAAAACATGTCAAATATTTTAGTTCTGAAACTATACAGAATCTCTTCCCCAATCCCCAGTCTTTCTCTCTACCTAGGAACTTCTTTACACTCTCTTCTTCTCTGCACTTCTGTTCTAAACCTGTCCTGATCTTTACACTCTCTTTGGAGCCTGTTTCAGTAGCAGAAGACCTATCACATTCATTCTTTGTTCAGTCTCAAAATCTCCTTTGGTGCATCTAGCTGCCTCCTTTTTTTTAGGCCTGTTCTGTAGAAGCAATGCCCATCTTCCTACTCCCTGATATCAGGAAGTGCCCTCTTCATTTTAATGCTGATACAGCTTTGTTTGCTTAATCTATTAAGCCAGATTTTGGCTGTAGTAGGTCATCTCATGTGAGTTGTCATGATGCTATGCTGCCAAAAGTGTAAAAGAAACATTCACAGAACAATGAGCCTTTCAAAACACTGTTTTTTTGGTGTACAGATGGAACTCATAACATTCAAATTGTTCCAGAATGTACTTGGACATGCTCTTTCTTTACTTTTTGTTTGTTATAATATCTAGCTTGTTGTTTCTTTACTGTAAACTAGAATTTGGATGGAGTATTCCCCTGTGCTTCAGTTTAAAATGGGATAACTTTTAAATAAGCTATATTTATTTAAATTTAAATAAGTTTTTACTCTATGGATTTTTAATTATGGAATATTTTCTTTTGAGTTCCTTGAGAAAAATGTCCTAATTTTTTTTTCTCCTCTTCACAGCTGGCATATTGCATAGTACAGTTCTTGGAGAAAGATCCTTCACTCACAGAACCAGTAAATATTTATTTGGTATTTTGATATCTGAAATGTCTGTTGTACCCAATTATAAAATTTTAAAATTAAAATTTGCTTTCTTTTTAATTTAGGTCATTAGAGGCTTAATGAAATTCTGGCCAAAAACCTGCAGTCAGAAAGAGGTAAGTTGTGTGTCTGTACTGAAATGTGTTTGTGAAATGAACCCGATTAATTCCACAGATTAAAACTGAAGATATTTGGAGGAGCCGCCAGATTTTTGGCTTTGGATATGACACACAGTTCTCTTAAGCACTGTACTGGACTTGGTCATTGGTCTAACTAATACTCTTCAAACTTATGATTTATTCGTATTTGAACCCTTCTTTTTTGGGATAATGTTGAATGTTCAGGTGAAGCATCAAGCTGATGCCAGTTTGGTCTCTGTTATAAAAATCATATGTTGATATAAATGTTATTCCACAAGGGGGAGTGATTTTTCCATATTAGGAGCAAAAGTGAATCTTGTGGGCATATATGGAAAAATTCTGTTTAAAAATTGTATGAGCATGAGTGTCACTTAGCTAAAGAGGCAAGTGTCAGAGCTAAAGAGCAGCGGGCTAAAGAGGCTATTGGCAGTTGGCATTTGCAACCATGCTTGTATCCGCTAAGCATGTAATTGCATACGCAGATGGACATTATCTTATTTGTTCTTGCACATCCTGGGTTAAACCATGATAATTTTTTATACCACAGGAGGAGTTTTGTTAGAAAGTTGGGTCCGATAGATGTTAGGTGAAGATGTCATTTATTTTATGGGTAAAATTCTAGCCGTAGAAATCAATGGGAGTTTTGCCATTGTCTTCAGCAAGGCAAAGATTTCAGCTCGGATATACTAGTATGATATCTAGATTCCTTAAAGCAAGCAGTTGGGATGCTTAGGATGGGGAGCAAGTGCCAGCATCTGTCTCCCTTGCATTTTATGTGTAAATCTACCACTAGGCACATCCACAAGTAATAACAGGAGAGAGATTTTAGAATTAGTCACTCATTTATACCAGACATCTGGGGTGTGATCCTGTGAGATAGCAAGCACTTTCAACTTCATTTGAAGTCAGCATGACTTAAGTGCAGAGCATCTCGCAGATCAAGGCTTTTAACCTCAACTCAGATTAAATCTTGTCTTCCCCCAGTCCCTTTTGGCCACTCTCCCCTTGACATCTGTTACTACTGCAGATATTCTTTGAAACTTCACAGTTATATGGAGTTCAAGCAAGTTTGTGAAGGATACATAGCACAATGCAGTGCCATGTAGAAACACTTGTGCTAGCTTTGAAGAAGCCAGCTTAGATGTAAGAAGCAGTATATACCGGACTAAATAGCCCTACAGAGAAGTTATTGAACAGGGTAGGAGGAAGAGAGCTGTACTAATGTACGCAAGCTCTTTCAGCGATTGCTCAGGCCTCTCTGCATGGCCCTGCATTATGCTTTGTAGATGGACGCTGAATCCCAAAGTTGTTCCAGTACCTGCTTAGACCTTTGCTGTCAAACAGTGGCATTGCATACACGTAAAACAGGAATTGGCAACCTTTTTGCCATTTTAGGCTGCTGCTCAAAACCCAGCCCCTGCCATGAGCTTCAGCCCTTTACCCCCTGGCATTCAGACCCTGGGCTTGCTGCCTCTGCAACAGGAAAAAACCTGACATGAACATGGCAGGTGCAAGGACCCTGGGGACACTGCTGCCAGTGCCGGGTACATGCTGCCAATTCCCGATCTACTGTTGGCTGGATCCAGTCTGCGGGCCATAGGTTGCTGAGCCCTGATATTAGTAAAGTTTTCAAAGCGTGGAATGTAGCAGTAGCTTGTATGCAAGAAAGAGTATGACGCTTTATATTGTTCATAGCTTTAATGCAGCTACTTCAGATTAAAATCTCACAACACTCAGACACTGAACTTTCAACACATGAGTAGTATTGTTGACTTTCATGTGACTGCTTGGTTGAATAAAGTTAAACATGAGTGGAAGTACTTGCAGGATTACAGGATGTGTTTGGTGTTTGTAAATGGTCTCTGAATTTGTATGGGTTACCTATATATATATAAGTGTATGAATATAATGATCAATCCAAGTGCAGTGATAACCAGCTAGAAAAAGGACCCCTTCCTTAATTCTGTTTAGTTTCACAGAACCAGCTTTTTAAAAAATGTTCTCTAATTCTGCT